ACACATTGCCCTCAGACATGATATCTCCACTGCCTCCAGCCTTCTCCTCGCTGCAACATTCATCACCCATGCATCACACCCATATAAGAGCGTTGGTAAAACTATACCCTCATACATTCCCCTCTTTGCCTCCAAGGACAAAGTTCTTTGTCTCCACAGACTCCTAAGTGCACCACTCACCCTTTTCCCCTCATCAATTCTATGATTCACCTCATCTTTCATAGACCCATCTGCTGACACGTCCACTCCCAAATATATGAATACATTCACCTCCTCCATACTCTCTCCCTCCAATATGATATCCAATCTTTCATCACCTAATCTTTTTATCCTCATAACCTCTTTCCTGTATTCACTTTTAATTTTCTTCTTTTGCATACCCTACCAAATTCATCCACCAACGTCTGCAACTTCTCTTCAGAATCTCCCAAGAGCACAGTGTCATCAGCAAAGAGCAACTGTGACAATTCCCACTTTGTGTGATTATCTTTTAACTCCACGCCTCTTGCCAAGACCCTCGCATTTACTTCTCTTACAACCCCATCTATAAATATATTAAACAACCACGGTGACATCACACATCCTTGCCGAAGGCCTACTTTTACTGGGAAATAATCTCCCTCTTTCCTACATACTCTAACTTGAGCCTCACTATCCTCATAAAAACTCTTCACTGCTTTCAGTAACCTACCTCCTAAACCATACATCTGCAACATCTGCCACATTGCCCCTCTATCCACTGTCATACGCCTTTTTCCAAATCCATAAATGCCACAAAAACCTCTTTAGCCTTATCTAAATACTGTTCACTTATATGTTTCACTGTAAACACCTGGTCTACACACCCCCTACCTTTCCTAAAGCCTCCTCGTTCATCTGCTATCCTATTCTCCGTCTTACTCTTAATTCTTTCAATTATAACTCTACCATACACTTTACCAGGTATACTCAACAGACTTATCCCCCTATAATTTTTGCACTCTCTTTTGTCCCCTTTGCCTTTATACAAAGGAACTATGCATGCTCTCTGCCAATCCCTAGGTACCTTACCCTCTTCCATACATCTATTAAATAATTGCACCAACCACTCCAAAACTATATTCCCACCTGCTTTTAACATTTCTATCTTTATCCCATCAATCCGGCTGCCTTACCCCCTTTCATTTTACCTACTGCCTCACGAGCTTTCCCCACACTCACAACTGGCTCTTCCTCACTCCTACAAGATGTTATTCCTCCTTGCCCTATACACGAAATCACAGCTTCCCTACCTTCCCAATACCTCTAACTCTCCATTTAATAACTCTCTTCTCCTATTTTTAACTGACAAATCCATTTGTTCTCTAGGCTTTCTTGTTTATCTCACTCCAACTTTTTCTTATTTTCAACAAAATTTGTTGATAACATCTCACCCACTCTCTCATTTGCTCTCTTTTTACATTGCTTCACCACTCTCTTAACCTGTAAAGTAAAAGGAGACAAGTGCAACTAATGTGACAATTTATTGTGGCAACGTTTCACTCTCCAGGAGCTTTATCAAGCCATTACAGACAATACATGGACACAGAGGGTATATATACCCTCTGTGTCCATGTATTGTCTGTAATGGCTTGATAAAGCTCCTGGAGAGCGAAACGTTGCCACAATAAATTGTCACATTAGTTGCACTTGTGTCCTTTTACTTTACATATTGTCGGTAATTCTACCAACTTTATTACAATCTCTTAACCTCTCTTTTTCTCCATATACTCTTCCTTCCTTGCATCACTTCTACTTTGTAAAAACTTCTCATATGATAACTTTTTCTCCCTTACTACTCTCTTTACATCATCATTCCACCAATAGCTCCTCTTCCCGCCAGCACCCACTTTCCTGTAACCATAAACTTCTGCTGAACACTAACACATTTTTAAACCTACCCCATACCTCTTCGACCCCATTGCCTATGCTCTCATTAGCCCATCTATCCTCCAATAGCTGTTTATGTCTTACCCTAACTGCCTCATCTTTTAGTTTATAAACCTTCACCTCTCTCTTCCCTGATGCTTCTATTCTCCTTGTATCCCATCTACCTTTTACTCTCAGTGTAGCTACAACTAAAAAGTGATCTGATATATCTGTGGCCCCTCTATAAACATGTACATCCTGAAGTCTACTCAACAGTTTTTTTTTTATCTACCAATACATAATCCAACAAACTACTGTCATTTTGCCCTACATCATATCTTGTATACTTATTTATCCTCTTTTTCTTAAAATATGTATTACCTGTAACTAAACCCCTTTCTATACAAAGTTCAATCAAAGGGCTCCCATTATCATTTACACCTGGCACCCCAAACTTACCTACCACACCCTCTCTAAAAGTTTCTCCTACTTTAGTATTCAGGTCCCCTACCACAATTACTCTCACTTGGTTCAAAGGTTCCTATACATTCACTTAACATCTCCCAAAATCTCTCTCTCTCTCTCCTCTATATTCCTCTCTTCTCCAGGTGCATACACGCTTATTATGACCCACTTTTTGCATCCAACCTTTACTTTAATCCACATAATCCTTGAATTTACACATTCATATTCTCTCTTCTCCTTCCATAACTGATCCTTCAACATTACTGCTACCCCTTCCTTAGCTCTCTCTCAGATACTCCATTATTATAATCAAAAAGAAGCGCTAAGCCACAAGGGCTATACAGCGCTGCAGGGCAGGAAGGAAGCGAGGGCATCAGGTGGCAAAAGGGAGATGGACGAGTAATAGGTTATGGATAACAGTGGGGTAGTGGATGATGAAAGGGTAAAGGGCAGCAAGAGACTGAGCTAGAAAGGGCTGAGGGGAGTGCGAAAGGTATCATCATCAGAGTTTGTGGAGTAAATCAGTCGTCAATGAGAGTCAGGATTAAAGGAGGGCCCATCAGCAAAAAGGGAAGGTAAAGAGTAGTAGAACGAAGATGACGTTGGAGGTAAATTCTACGTGCACGTTGATAGAGAGGGCAGTCCAACAGAATGTGGCTAATTGATACTGGAACTTGACACTGCTCACAGAGAGGAACAGGGTGCCTCTCCATGAGATACCCATGAGTAAGACGAGTGTGGCCAATGCGAAGACGGGAGAGAGTGGTCTCCCAACCTCGGCACTGATGACAAGAAAACAGCCAGTAACCTATGCTCGGTTTAATAGAATGAAGTTTGTTACCAAGCAGAGTTGACCGTTATTGCCAACGGGTGTGAAGGTGGGTAGCTATTGTAGCAAAATAGTCCAGAAATGGAACACCTCTATAGGAAATTGGTAGGTCATGTACTGCTGACCGCGCAGCAGTGTCTGCCTGTTCATTGCCCTGTACGTCGACATGACCAGGGACCCAACAAAAAAACTATCTTTATGCTTGGTAGAGATACGGAGTAGCCAAAGTTGGATACGGAGAACTAGGGGGCTGAGATGTATCAAATTTTCGTATAGCCTGTAGAGCACTAAGGGAGTCTGGCTCCACAAATGATGACAGGCATAGATGCGATACGAATAAGTGCTGCAAGAATGGCATACAATTCAGCAGTAAAAATGCTAGCCGAAGATAGTAAATGCCCCCGCACGACGCTGTCCGGAAACACTGCTGCGAATCCGATGCCGTCTGAAGACTTAGAGCCATCTGTGTACACAGCGATGGCATGAGAATGAGAGTGGAAGTGATCAAGAAAAAGAGAGCAGGAAGCCACCATAGGCAGTTGGGCTTTCGAGCAAGGGAGTGAGATTATTATTATTATTATAATCAAAAAAGAAGCGCTAAGCCACAAGGGCTATACAGCAAGGGAGTGAGAAAGAACAGACCCAAACAGCTGGAACTTCCCAGGGGGGTAGGGAAAAGTGAGATGCTACATGAACATATAAAGGTGGCAACTGAAGGGAAGACAAGAGCGAATGTAAGCGAAGAGAAAAGGGATGGAGCAAACAGGGGCGGCGAACAAATAAAGAATGTCTACTAATATCGGTGACCATTCTATAAATGGAAGGATTGTGGAGATTGTGAGAGCGTATATAGTAGCGAAGGTAATGGGCATCACGGCGATCAGACAAGGATGGAACGTTCGCTGCTGCATAGAGGCTCTCAACAGGGGAAGAGCGAAAAGCACTAAGGCATAAATGTAATCCTTGGGGTTAAGGCTATAGAGTAGCAGGAGAGGCCACTGAATAAATCTGGTCACCATAATCGAGTTTCGATAAAATGAGGGCTGAATGTAGGCGAATTATTATTATAATCAAGGGGGAAGCGCTAAACCCGGAGGATTATACAGCGCCTGGGGGGGGATGTGGAAGGCATTCAGGTTTAATTCGGGGAACGAATGTAGGTGAAGCAGAGTTCGACGATCAGCTCCCCAGGAAAGATGAGCGAGGGTTTTAAGGTTTAGCCGGCTGTGACAAGTTGCCTTCAGAGTCAGATACTCCAGATTTAATCCCATTTATTTCCCCCCACCCCCTTCATTATTATTATTATAATCAAGGGGGAAGCGCTAAACCCGGAGGATTATACAGCGCCTGGGGGGGGGGGGGATGTGGAAGGCATTCAGGCTTAATTCGGGGAACTGGAGCACAGATCCAATTCCCTAAATCAAGAGCCCCTCGCCAACATCAAGGAACCTTCCTTGAGGGGCCCCCTTCAGCTTTGTTTTGCTTAGGGCCAGGACATCCAACTTCTTTTCATTCATAACATCAGCAATCATCTGTTTGTCATCCCGCACTCCATCCTAATCGGTCTCAAACATTGGATGTAAGTCATACATGCCTTTTCCTTTCCACCAGTCCTCACATGAAGGCAGGTACTGGGGGGATTGTGGGGGTTAACTGTGGCCATAAGACTTACAAGCAGCAACCATCTCATTAATAGAAATACTACTTCACTATTTTCTTTCTCCAGTGTCTTTTTTAGAGGACATGCAGAGCTGTATAACTGGGTTTAGCACTTAGTTTGGATAAAAATTGAAGAGGATATGAAAAAACAAAGCCCACATTAATGCATTATATTTAAAAAAGCAAAACCTGATGACTGCATATTAAGTAAAAGGTTACAGGATGCAAAAGGATGAAATTGTTTGCACAAGTCAAATCATATGACCTGTCTTGTAGTTCAGAAATATTCTTTTAAATTAAACCAATATGGCCTATGGCCTCTTAGCTAATTCCTTTTCACAAGTTACATCATTTGGGGGTAAGCTAAAATAAAAATTCCTCAAACGAATCCATAAGATATACTTCTAGAGGATTCTACACTTTAATTTTAAAGCAGCCAAACTATGTACTTAAGAATTCATGATAAAATCAGTCATGTACTGTAAATGGATTTTAATAGCACAAATCTCCCCCCCCCCCTTTTTTTTTTTCCATCGGGATCAAAATTTACTGACCACATATCTATTTCCATTAAAGGTTAACACTTAACAGTGTTGTAACCAAATATTTCAACAATCTCATAAGGTTACATCTTAAAAGGGAGTGATATATTAACATCATTTGGTGATTGACAAAATTCAAGGTCCAAATTTCTGAAATATTTAAGGTATTTGAGAAATGAGGAATATAAACATTTCTAAAATGATAAACTGCAGTTAATATCTTAAATATGAAAATATCAACTTATCCTTCTAAGAAACAGATTTTCTAAATGGCAAATTTCACATTAACTTTGGTTCTATTGATTCTAGTTGTAGTCTAGCAATCAAAATAACATACTGGAAAGCAAATAAATAAAAGTATAATGCCATTGAAAGACAACAGACAAGGATCAACCGTCTTTAGCTTCACTGGCATTATAAATTCATTTATTATCCTTGTGGATACATTATATTTGGTTATTTTTGTTCCAAGCAACAATCTAACCTAGCCATCCATAAGGTATATAGAGGAATTTGCTAAAAAATATTCTTTGCAGGAAAACTGTTAATAAATAAACATTCTGACTGATTCTTAAAATGATGAATTGGAAAATACATAAATATTTCTTATTAAACCAATTATCACAAAAACTTCTATGAAGAAAGAACATAAAAGAATGAAATCTGTGGAATATGTACAATAGATAAAACATTACAAAAGCATGGGCCCATTGTAAACATTCCTGAGGGTCAGATATTGCATATTACTTAAAATATAAAATTGCACCACAAGTGAAATGTTTTACAATTATTTCAAATATTACGTGAGTGCATTAAACATTTGAAGCTTAGCACCTGGTAAGTAGAATTAACCTAAGAGGCTAAAAAGTGTATTTACATTATGAGCAACAAAAAAATGTAAAGGCATAATCACACAGTGTAACCATCACTAATTATGTCTACAATTTGGCACTCATTTAGGTAATTACTCAATGGCACTAATACATGTCAGTATGGGCAGTACCCATAAATATCACTTAGCAAACCACCATCTTTGGTTAGATTTCTATAGCCTCTTCATATCCTCAATGTACGGCCTTTGTTCAGGGAAGAGAAGGATGCTAATTTGATCAAACTTCGCATTTTGCTACGATTTTCTGGCTTCTGCTCTTCTGGGAATCTTGCCTTGTAAACCTCAGGATACAGTGACTTGAACTGTGGGGGGAAAAAAATTATTTGTATATATATAATGTAAATGTTATACAGGTATAATAAATATTACAATACAGTAGTGTTATATCTTTAGAAAAACTATTTACAGAATATTCAATTCACGAGAATGCACAACAGTAGAAAGTAATATCACTGACTTCTTTAAGTTTCTTCTTTCTTGATTTGGCAGATATTTTTTCATTATCTACAATTTGATCAAGAAGCTGCCCCAGATACTGTTGAGAGCCTGTCATGCGCTGGCGTTCATATTCAGCATTTGATACCTGGCGGCAGTAAGTGAGTATCATGCCCCTGTCTTCTATGGTGGAACCATACACAATCTGCAACGGAACACAGGGAGCATGCTGCTGCTGTCCGCCTGCTAAGCATATACAAGAATGATAAAGTAAAGCTATGCCACCATCACCAAAGTATTAAGGCAATAATACATTAATATACTGATAACTAAAGAAAATCAAGAATTACCAAAGAGTTTGAGGAGTCATGATACCATAAAAAAAAAGCAGAACAAGCTCGTCTACAATGTGGAATAAAACATTACAGTACAACAATCTAGGCCAATGATATTTAATCAAGGTGGTAATGATCTATTATTATAATTAACTAAGTAGCTCAAGAGGTCAAGTACTGCAGGTTTAAGACTATACCCACAAGGAAAGCAAGTCCTACAAGCAAAGGTGCAGATTTCTGAGGAAAAATGCATCTAAACAAAATCTCCATAATATCTGAATGAAACATTTTAAAAATAAACCAAAATTACCCATATTACTTTATCAAATAATTAAGACCTCCCACTTCTTACACCAAAAACCCACATATCACTGACATCAACTAGTAATCAGCTCTTTCACAGAGCTCATCTATATATTTTTACTGTTGCAAATGCAATGGAAAAAGTACATCTAAAATCAACAGACCTTCGTACTATGTGCTATTTAACTGCCTGAAATAAAAGGAAAAACAAATTTCAACATCTCTTCCTGTAATGTTGTAGAAAATAATTGCAGAACTGTATTTGGTTACGAATTATGTTTTTAACACAATACAGCTAGCCCTCTACCTTCGAACATTCGTGAAAGCCCATGTGGGAAAGTACGTACGGAAAAAACGCTTCTCGCTGCGTCCCTACTACCCTCCCTCTTACCCCCTCAACAACAGTTTCATGTGTTTAATGATTGTGGTTCAATAGGTTAAGGAAGCAGTATTATCAGGCTAAGTAAATGATATTATATTTTCCTACATATCTGCGCACCAAACATTCGCAAAATTTCAAGATTTGCGAGGTTCTTCATCTCCTAACCCTTGAGAATGTGTATTATAATCATGGGGGAGCACTAAACCAATAGAGATTACACAGCACCTGTGGGGTGGGGAGGGATGGAAGGTATTCGGAAATGGGAGCACAGAATAGCTGTCTCCCAAGGCAGGGTGACCCAAAAAAAGAAACAAAGTATATGTATGAAGATGTATGATTGCTTTTTATTAAATTACATTTATATTGGTTTCCATTTGACATTTATACTTGCATAATTACACTCAATGGCAATTCAAAACTATATAAAAAATTTAACACCTGCCATCTTCCATTGAGGTAGGACGACCTCCCTTCCCAAGAAAAAACATTCACCACCATTCAATCCGTCTTGCCAGAAGTGTTCTGACATCACAGTTCTTATGACTCTCCAAACTACCACCCACACCCCAGTGGCAAGCACTGTACTCCCTTCCTCCAAGACTAATCTGGCTAACCAGTGTCACTAAATCCCTTCATAAATATTGGCTTGCTGACACTCCAACACCACACTGTCATATAAACCACCTGCCACCACATACTGAAATCCAATCTAATGTGCTATTAATATTTATGAACATCACTTGCAGATGGACACAAGCACAACTATCAACAACTACTGAATTAAAAGTACACAATGCAGCATGAAGCACAATAATTTAAAGCACTATTAAACAAGGTGAAAATATATGCATCAGTAAAGCTTGCATACAGAATAAATCAGGGTAAGCATGCACTACCACCACTGCAGCAAGCACTTTCACATGCCCAGCAAGGACAGCTACAGTATATATTTACCCTGTGTGCCGTACAGATTCTGGTTCCTGGACGAAATTTGTGCATATAAGAAATAAAGAATTTTTTCCTAAATTGTAAATGCCTTTAAACTGTGAAGAAATCTTCTGGAAAAGGTTGTAAATGAATAACCAGTATATATATAAAAAAAAGCAACTGAACCTTAAAAGCATATAGTATAGTACTGTATGACTAGCTTCTATCATTAATAAATCTTGTGAAAATAAGCATTACACACAAAAATGGCCATGTATTTTCTACACCTACTTTTTTGGGACTAACACTGATATCTTTAAACTATACAGTGAATCAGAATTAATTTCATTTTATGTCATTTCAGAGCAGTCACAAAGTCGAAAGTAAAACGTCAATCCAAAAATCAGTGGTGGTAAAGACACATACTGTAGAACATGTTTCACCCACTAGAGGCTTCATCAAATACTTTACAAGAAACACAAAAAATCATCAGCCTAGAGTGTCAGATGTAGGTTAAGTGACAACCAACAAAAGTGAGGTTTGGATCTGGAGGTTGGTTAATACTGGGAGAGATGTAGATCTATTGGGTCAGATCATAGTAATGTGTGTTATCTATGTTGTTTCAAGATGATATACCTTATACCTTTGAAGAATTTCGAGAGTATATCTACTCTGAGCCCAGCCATGGGCCAAGCTCGTCTGGTGCTCACCTGGTCAACCAGGCTGTTGCTGCTGGAGGCTCACTGCCCCACATATCCATCACAGCCTGGTTGATCTGGCACCTGGTGAAGATACTTGTCTAGTTTCCTCTTCAAGGCTTCAACACTTGTTCCAGCAGTGTTTCTGATATCTTCTGGTAAGATGTTGAAAAGTCTGGGACCCCGGATGTTGATACAGTGTTCCCTTATTGTCCCCACTGCATCCCTGCTCCTCACTGGGTTTATTTTACACTTCCTCCCATCTCTCTCACTCCAGTATGTTATGGCAGTGTGCAGATTTGGGACCACGCCCTCGAGTACCTTCCAGGTATATATTATCATGTACCTCTCCTTCGCTCCAATGAATACATGTTCAAGACTTGCAGGCGTTCCCAGTAGTTTAAGTGATTTACTGGCTCAATGTGAGCCGTAAACGATCTCTATTTGTTCCAGCTCCGATATTTCTCCTGCCCTGAACAGGGCAGCCAGCACTGAGCAATATTCTAAGTGAGGGAGCACTAGCGATTTGAAGAGTCACCATCGGCACTGTTTCCCTTGTTTTGAAAGTTCTCAATACCCACCCAGTCATCTTCCTGGCTGTCGTGATCTTTGTCTTGTTATGGTCTTTAAAAGAAAGGTCCGCTGACATAATTATTCCTAGGTCTTTTATGTGTTCTTCACGTTCTATTTGGTGACCCTCTTGAGTTTTGTATATAGTGCTCCTTTTGAGTTCATTCTTTCCGTACCTAAGCAGCTGGAACTTATCACCATTGAACGTCATGTTGTTTTCCACTGCCCACTGGAAAACCCTGTTTATGTCTTCCTGTACTTTTTCAGTGTCCACCACCATACTGACTTTCATGCTTATTTTAGTGTCGTCTGCAAATGATGATACAAAAGTGTGCCGGGTGTTTTTTGTCTGTCTGCTATGAGGATGAGGAACAGCAGGTGCCAGGACAGTGCCTTGGGGCACTGAGCTTTTACCTCGCTGATGCTGGATCTTGCCCTGTTCACTACTACTTTTTGTGTTCTGTGTGTTAGGAAACCGAAAATCCATCTGCCTACCTTCCCCATAATGCCCATGGCCTTCATTTTGTGCACTATCACTCCATGATCGCATTTGTCAAACGCCTTTGCAAAATCTGTGTAAATCACATCTGCGTTTTGGTCGTCTTCCAGTACCTCCGTAATTCTGTCATAATGAAGTATGCAATCGGTTTTGATAAAACATACATCCTTCTATTTTGCTCTATGGTGTTGGCAAGGTGAATCAGAGGAAGTCTCAAGGCACCTTTGCTTGGACTTCATGACATGTGCACCACCCTTCAGCATCTCATTTACCTTTATTTTTAAATAGGCATAATTCCACTCTTAATCTTCTACCTTGCTTCACTTGTGTTACCTGCACTTCGTTTGGGTACCACAATAAATATCCAGATGAGATGGGGTGATGAAAAGGAAAACCGAGCAATGATATACGCTGACCCACATGGGAGGCTGTTTGTTTACGTCCATTCACCCTCCTTCACACCCTTCTTTGAATACCTAAAACAAATGATGTTCAGTACATAATGATAGGTCTTCTGCCTGCCAGCCATGGCACTCCTTAACCCTTTTATTGTCCAGACCCATGAAAATATTGCTCTCAGCATCCACATTTAAAAAAAAGAAATTCTACAAGGGTAAACTTTTTCTGAAGGTATTGACACAAAAGGTATGAAATTTGATGGAAAAAACTTATGGACTTACACAGGCACAATGTTACCAGTTTGGACACAATCTATGCATTGGCGATATCGTTCACTTTGAGTCCATTTTAAGCCAATTCCATTGCTCCTTTTGACCAAATTATTAGCTATTTCACTAGCATGCCTTCCATCCTGTTGAGATTGAGCACAAGAAACGACCCATTCAACTATTAGAACTACTCTATATAGCACACAGAAGTTGGTAATTTGGCTAATTTTACACAAAACTAAAAAAATCTAATTTAAAAATAGAGTCCAAAATAAACAATGTAAACATTCCTGGCACCAAAACATTTCCTCTGTTCATTAATCACATTCCAAGGCCTCTCCTATGTTACACTTGCCTTTATTTTGAATTCATAATCAAAAAAATTTGAAGATTTAACATATCAGGCGCTGATCCACCAGGAGGCCTGGTCACAGACCGGGCCGCGGGGGCGTTGACCCCCGAAACTCTCTCCAGGTAAACTCCAGGTATTTTTCAGATAAAATAAAACCAGGAATAATTGCTCATGATTTGCAGCATCCTAAAAATTGAATCTTTCTTATTTCTTTCAACAAACCGGCCGTATCCCACCAAGGCAGGGTGGCCCAAAAAGAAAAATTAAAGTTTCTCTTTTTAAATTTAGTAATTTATACAGGAGAAGGGGTTACTAGCCCCTTGCTCCTGGCATTTTAGTCGCCTCTTACAATACTCATAGCTTACGGAGGAAGAATTCTGTTCCACTTCCCCATGGAGAAAAATTGAATCTGTCTTATTAAAAACCCATAAGAGAGACCTATGGAGAGTCAGCAAAAATCTAGTACTAGTTCTGTTACTCCGAGCCCAATTTTAAGCTACTTCCAGTCCTGAAATCACGTCTATTTCAGCAGTATATCTTCCATTCTATCAAATGGTACAAGAAACAGCCAATAAAAACCATCCTGGAAAACACCTCAAAATTGCTATTTTAAGCCACACACAAAGTCAGAACATTATACTTAACTGCCAGAAGTACTTGAAACCAAGCCTAAGCTTGGCTACATCAGTCAGTCTGTTCATATTGCAAGTTGCTCCATAAATGTACTTATCTAAGTTATATTATCATAGTGGGTTATAGATCTACTCAGGCTTCTAACTGCATTCCTGTAACATTCAGTTTCATTTTTTACTTCACTCTTAATACTATTCCTAACGCTAAACACAGATATACCAAAATTATATCTGGATTTTCTTTCAGGGTACATTTTTTGGTTAACATATCAACTTTATCATGAATTGTGCATTAATTCCTTTCTCCTGAATTTTTTAGTATCTATATCTGGCTTGTCCAATAAGCATGTTGTTAGTCATTATGCAAGTCAAGAGCCTTCAGTGATGACACACAATCAGTAATAATCAGTTAAGCTCAGCATCATAAGTTAACTTCAGTGTTATTAATAAGATGGCAAACAATTCAGTTTGCAGTGTAGATGCCAAGTTAATTCTTATGCCTAACTAAACAGAGTTCCTGTTATTCTTAACTTGGAAGGTGCTAACAAGTGCAAATGCTGCCCTGCCAGTAAATTCCTGCTTAGATTTATCAGTGTATATAAACCACATTCATTTTTTGTGCATAGTAAAACACCTAAAGATGGTAACCAACATGTAAACATTGGCAAGTGCCCAACTTATCAATAAGCTGAAAATGACAAACAGATGTTGATTCAGCCCGTCCAGGACCACTACCATGTAAACAGTGAGTCAATATTTACACAAAAGGTATATGCTGTAATAATCAAGCAAAAAAAAAAAAGTGAAAAACTTATGTACAGTGCTTAACTCCAGCAGAGCTTTGTAAAACAAAATTCCATTATGCTGCTAAGACTGTGGAAGATTTCTCCGATAAATTATAATTTCATTCTCATATCAAGAGAAGCTTGATAAGCCATGCAGCAAACAATGTTTCCTGTGCAGTGATATTACAAAACGAAAATATGATGCACATTCAGTTCATAGCCTTTTCAGATAATACTTACCTGGCACCGTTGAATCTGAGAAAGTCTGCGATGCACAAGAACAGCAAGATCTTGCGGGGGACGTAATACTTCCTCATGGTTGTCCATTAAAAACGAGACAATGCGAAGGGACAACACCTCATCATAATCCACTTCTTGGTCACATAAGAGGATACACCGTGTGAATGTGTTCAGTACCTGGTTGGCAAAGAAATACTACTAAAATGTGTATTCTTTTGTTAGTTATGCCTGCCCAATCACTGATCGAGGAAATGGTCACTAATCAAGGGGAGGGGAAATCTGTAGCCTGTAAATTTGGTAATAATTAAAAAAAAAGCAGAAGCATTTCATTAGCAGAGGAAGGGTTCCAGGTCTATTTTTGGTACTTATATGAAATTACATTATATGAATGTATGTTTAGCAACTGATTACTGTAACTGCAATACAAAACACCATGCAGTAACTTCAGCTGGTAGATTTGACTCGGGAGGTAACTAACCAGAGCTCTTGTGCTTTGCTCCTGGTCCAGGGTCAACCTGTCATTACTGGACATTTTACTCATCATGCGGAGAAGAAGATGCAGCTTCCGTCGTCGCACAGGAGCCAAGAGCAGCAACAGCAGCTGAACAGAACTGATGGCAGCATCCTTACCTTCTCTTGTTAGAAGTCCTATAAATAAATACCACATCAGATTTATCTTCAACAACAGAAACTCATTATTGCACAACAGAATAATAAAATTCTCAAGTAATTTGTAAAAATCATGTTATTTACATGATTTTTACAAATAGGTAGTAGGTTGGTAGACAGCAACCACCCAGGGAAGTACTACCGTCCTGCCAGATGACTGTGAAACAAAAACCTGTAATTGTTTTGCATGATGGTAGGATTGCTGGTTTCTTTTTCTGTCTCATAAACACGCTAAGATAACAGGGATATCTTGCTACTCCTACTAACACTTTGGTCACACTTCACAGACACGCACATGCATATATATATATACATACATCTAGGTTTTTCTCCTTTTTCTAAATAGCTCTTGTTCTTTTTTATTTCTTCTATTGTCCATGGGGAAGTGGAAAAGAATCTTTCCTCGTAAGCCATGCGTGTCGTATGAGGCGACTAAAATGCCGGGAGCAATGGGCTAGTAACCCCTTTCTCCTGTATACAATTACTAAAAAAGAGAAGAAGAAAAACTTTATAAAACTGGGTTGCTTAAATGTGCGTGGATGTAGTGCGGATGACAAGAAACAGATGATTGCTGATGTTATGAATGAAAAGAAGTTGGATGTCCTGGCCCTAAGCGAAACAAAGCTGAAGGGGGTAGGAGAGTTTCAGTGGGGGAAATAATGGGATTAAATCTGGAGTATCTGAGAGAGTTAGAGCAAAGGAAGGGGTAGCAGTAATGTAAATGATCAGTTATGGAAGGAGAAAAGAGAATATGAATGTGTAAATTCAAGAATTATGTGGATTAAAGTAAAGTTGGATGCGAGAAGTGGGTCATAATAAGCGTGTATGCACCTGGAGAAGAGAGGAATGCAGAGGAGAGAGAGAGATTTTGGGAGATGTTAAGTGAATGTATAGGAGCCTTTGAACCAAGTGAGAGAGTAATTGTGGTAGGGGACTTGAATGCTAAAGTAGGAGAAACTTTTAGAGAGGGTGTGGTAGGTAAGTTTGGGGTGCCAGGTGTAAATGATAATGGGAGCCCTTTGATTGAACTTTGTATAGAAAGGGGTTTAGTTATAGGTAATACATATTTTAAGAAAAAGAGGATAAATAAGTATACACGATATGATGTAGGGCGAAATGACAGTAGTTTGTTGGATTATGTATTGGTAGATAAAAGACTGTTGAGTAGACTTCAGGATGTACATGTTTATAGAGGGGCCACAGATATATCAGATCACTTTCTAGTTGTAGCTACACTGAGAGTAAAAGGTAGATGGGATACAAGGAGAATAGAAGCATCAGGGAAGAGAGAGGTGAAGGTTTATAAACTAAAAGAGGAGGCAGTTAGGGTAAGATATAAACAGCTATTGGAGGATAGATGGGCTAATGAGAGCATAGGCAATGGGTCGAAGAGGTATGGGGTAAGGTTTAAAAATGTAGTGTTAGATGTTCAGCAGAAGTTTGTGGTTACAGGAAAGTGGGTGCAGGAGGGAAGAGGAGCGATTGGTGGAATGATGATGTAAAGAGAGTAGTAAGGGAGAAAAAGTTAGCATATGAGAAGTTTTTACAAAGTAGAAGTGATGCAAGGAGGGAAGAGTATATGGAGAAAAAGAGAGAGGTTAAGAGAGTGGTGAAGCAATGTAAAAAGAGAGCAAATGAGAGAGTGGGTGAGATGTTATCAACAAATTTTGTTGAAAATAAGAAAAAGTTTTTGGAGTGAGATTAACAAGTTAAGAAAGCCTAGAGAACAAATGGATTTGTCAGTTAAAAATAGGAGAGGAGAGTTATTAAATGGAGAGTTAGAGGTATTGGAAGATGGAAGGAATATTTTGAGGAATTGTTAAATGTTGATGAAGATAGGGAAGCTGTGATTTCGTGTATAGGGCAAGGAGGAATAACATCTTGTAGGAGTGAGGAAGAGCCAGTTGTGAGTGTGGGGGAAGTTCGTGAGGCAGTAGGTAAAATGAAAGGGGGTAAGGCAGCCGGGATTGATGGGATAAAGATAGAAATGTTAAAAGCAGGTGGGGATATAGTTTTGGAGTGTTGGTGCAATTGTTTAATAAATGTATGGAAGAGGGTAAGGTACCTAGGGATTGGCAGAGAGCATGCATAGTTCCTTTGTATAAAGGCAAAGGGGATAAAAGAGAGTGCAAAAATTATAGGGGATAAGTCTGTTGAGTGTACCTGGTAAAGTGTATGGTAGAGTTATAATGAAAGAATTAAGAGTAAGACGGAGAATAGGATAGCAGATGAACAAGGAGGGTTTAGGAAAGGTAGGGGTGTGTTGGACCAGGTGTTTACAGTGAAACATATAAGTGAACAGTATTTAGATAAGGCTAAAGAGGTCTTTGTGGCATTTATGGATTTGGAAAAAAGGGGTATGACAGGGTGGATAGGGGGGGAATGTGGCAGATGTTGCAAGTGTATGGTGTAGGAGGTAGGTTACTGAAAGCAGTGAAGAGTTTTTACGAGGATAGTGAGGCTCAAGTTAGAGTATGTAGGAAAGAGGGAAATTTTTTCCCAGTAAAAGTAGGCCTTAGACAAGGATGTGGTGATGTCACCGTGGTTGTTTAATATATTTTTTAGATGGGGTTGTAAGAGAAGTAAATGCGAGGGTCTTGGCAAGAGGCGTGGAGTTAAAAGATAAAGAATCACACACAAAGTGGGAGTTGTCACAGCTGCTCTTTGCTGATGACACTGTGCTCTTGGGAGATTCTGAAGAGAAGTTGCAGAGATTGGTGATGAATTTGGTAGGGTGTGCAAAAGAAGAAAATTAAAGGTGAATACAGGAAAGAGTAAGGTTATGAGGATAACAAAAAGATTAGGTGATGAAAGATTGAATATCAGATTGGAGGGAGAGAGTATGGAGGAGGTGAACGTATTCAGATATTTGGGAGTGGACGTGTCAGCGGATGGGTCTATGAAAGATGAGGTGAATCATAGAATTGATGAGGGAAAAAGAGTGAGTGGTGCACTTAGGAGTCTGTGGAGACAAAGAACTTTGTCCTTGGAGGCAAAGAGGGGAATGTATGAGAGTATAGTTTTACCAACGCTCTTATATGGGTGTGAAGCGTGGGTGATGAATGTTGCAGCGAGGAGAAGGCTGGAGGCAGTGGAGATGTCATGTCTGAGGGCAATGTGTGGTGTGAATATAATGCAGAGAATTCGTAGTTTGGAAGTTAGGAGGAGGTGCGGGATTACCAAAACTGTTGTCCAGAGGGCTGAGGAAGGGTTGTTGAGGTGGTTCGGACATGTAGAGAGAATGGAGCGAAACAGAATGACTTCAAGAGTGTATCAGTCTGTAGTGGAAGGAAGGCGGGGTAGGGGTCGGCCTAGGAAGGGTTGGAGGGAGGGGGTAAAGGAGGTTTGTGTGCGAGGGGCTTGGACTTCCAGCAGGCATGCTGAGCGTGTTTGATAGGAGTGAATGGAGACAAATGGTTTTTAATACTTGACGTGCTGTTGGAGTGTGAGCAAAGTAACATTTATGAAGGGATTCAGGGAAACCGGCAGGCCGGACTTGAGTCCTGGAGATGGGAAGTACAGTGCCTGCACTCTGAAGGAGGGGTGTTAATGTTGCAGTTTAAAAACTGTAGTGTAAAGCACCCTTCTGGCAAGACAGTGATGGAGTGAATGATGGTGAAAGTTTTTCTTTTTCGGGCCACCCTGCCTTGGTGGGAATCGGCCGGTGTGATAATAAAAAAAAAAAAAAAAATGTTATTTACAATCTCAAAAATTTGCAATATACATTTAAGCATAGCTACAGTTCATAAATGCATAAAAATATTATTCACTTTGCCAATTTAAAATGGGTAAAATTTATCAGTACACAATGTTTTCAACTAAGAATTATCCTACACACTATCAGTGAAATTTAAAAATTATCATCTCCACAAATCATTTAACTATCAAACATTGTTCAGCCCTATGTTCCATTGTAGGCTGCATATGGTTGACTATGCAAACAGTCCTGTATGTGGCATTCACTTTATCGCAACCTTTAAAAACTGCTGCAATTCAGTCTCAACTTGTTACAAATTTCATTTATTGCTACATTAATGGGAACTGTAATTAGCTACTGACACAAAATATACTTAAAATGCATTTATAGATTTAATATTCACATTTGAACAACTACTATTAGAGAATTATTAGAAAATATGTTGTGAAAAATAAAATCTCACTTCAGATTTTAATGTAAAAGTAGTGTGTTGCAGTGTCAGACAAGATGGTATAAACCTTGGTAATAAATACCGACAAGTTGGTTTAGAAAGACACGTAAGCAAACACTATGACATATTTATTAGAAAACGTTTCGGTCCTGGGACCTTGATCACTTCCAACATACAGAGGTAGAAAGGCATTATATATATAGGCGGAGAGTGAGGTGTGACGCACGTGACCTGAGGAATGTCATAAGAACATGAGAACATAAGAATGGAGGAACACTGTAGAAGGCCTACTGGCCCATGCGAGGCAGGTCCTTATCAAAACAACCTCCACCATAAACACATCATCTATCAAAGACCTCACTACGAAACGCAGCCCCACACCTCTAACTTCTACAGCAGGCGTCTACACTATCCCCTGTGGGTTCTGTCCCAAGAAATATGTAGGCGAGACAGGCAGAGATCTTGCAGTCCGCTTGAATGAGCATCGAAATGCCTCTAACAGAGACGATGTAAGGTATGCCTGTGTCCTCCACAGAGACTCCACGGGACATTTGATGAACTGGAATGAGGCACAACTCGTTCTCACCGAACCAGACCTCAGACGCCGACGGTGCCTAGAAGCCTCACTAATCGCAGTCACCGACACTATAGAACGCAACACTGGAAACTACAAAATTTCAAAAACATTGGCATACATGATACTTAAGCACCACCAACCCAACAGCACAGAGTCACATGATTTCAACGTCTACCCGTATTCATCGTAGGCAGAGGTTGTTCTGATAAGGACCTGCCTCGCATGGGCCAGTAGGCCTTCTACAGTGTTCCTCC